ACGTTGCTCAAGTAAATTCGTTCTTAAGCGCTTGAAGTTTGCAAAGGTTCAAGCGCGAGCTTGGCTTTATCCATACGCTGATCCTGCAAACAAGGTGTTTCTTGCCGAGGAGGGGATCATTGCAAATTCGCAAATCACTGCTGGAAGCATCCGCCCCCCTTTTTTCTTGGACGTGATTCGATCGGGTTGTGGCACCTACAAAACATCTCCCACGGCGACCGAGCATCTTGGCTTTTGACAGACTGACATTATGAGGTGTTAAGGCATGAGCCTTTGCGTCGATTACAGAAGCATGGCGCGCCGTCTGGCGGCTACCTGCTAGCCTTCCTTTACAAGCTTCCCTCGGAAACTAACAAAGTATGAAACTTGACGGCGCAAGCAAGCTACAAGCCAGCATTCCAAATGCCAGTTCGTACATGATCTGCTACTACCGAGCCATTGGGACATTGGCTCATCGCGAGGGACGGGCCTTTTGACCTGAGGTGCCTTCCTTCGTTCCTTTTGGTCCATGTACCCGACAAGGTGACCTGGAAATTTCTGGGGGACTCCCTTTGAAACGGCGAGGCCAAAAAGACTTTCTTTGGGGCTGGCTAACTGAATAGTTCACCTGTAAACTTGGCACACAGGCCAAACGCCTCATTCTGTGATTGACCGATGTTCCCTAGCAATGCAATAAAAAAGGAACGGTCCCAGGCGTTCATGGAAAAAAAGACACAGGTTCCACAAAAAGAAGAAACAAACAAACAAAAACCACCAAAAAACGGAGAAAACCAAGCGGGGGGAAAAAAAAAAACGACAGAAACAAACAAACAAAACGCACAAACAAAAGACGGCGGACTGCCCTGCAGGTGGCTGAGATCGCGCTGGAGCGCGCATCCCGTGGCCATGGCCTGGCGTCTCGCTTGATTATTTTTTTTCGGGACCGGCCGGCGGTTTTTTTTTGGGGGGGGCCCGGAAAACCAGACATCCCGGTGAAAAGGGTACTCCGAAAAAACACAAACAGGAAAAACACACACACCAAAAAACACAAGACATCTTGGATTCGAACCTCTGGAATTGCAGTGTGGGGGTGATACCATGCAACTTGACGGGAAGTGGTGTGGAGTGCGCATTTCCGCTGAAATCTTTATGTAGAGTTCTTGGGCAGAGCACTGGATTTGGACTTCCCTTAGATGTGGCCTCCATTGGCTTCAATTGGGGTTGTTTTGTCTCGAGTGATCCGTAGCTCGGAGCATGAAAGGTGCCTGAGAGGTGCCTGAGAGCAATTTTTGTTCTCAGTTCTTAATTCACGCAATGGCCATTTTCCCGCAAGGTAAGCACTTTGGCAGAACTGCTTCCCCTTGGCTGGAGATTTGTTTGGTAAGGTTTATGAAGCAGAACCCTTACCCCTTCCACCTCGGCTTTAGATGAGACTTATGCCGGGCCTCATTGTTCAAACATGATGCACCACTGAAACAAACATGACGGTGACTCACACTGGTCTTGGTGATCGTGATTGTAGTGTTTGATATGTTGCATAGTTTGCTTCTTTTTTTGGGCAACTGGGGGCCAGGAAGCAATGTTGCTGTTTGTGTGTTGGGAGCCATAAAGCCGAGCGTTCCAGTTTGGAGTGTGAACCTGAAACTTCTGTCTCTCGCAAGGGTTCGAGCGTTTCAGATTGGAATATAAATCTAAAACTTCTGCCTCTCGAAAGACATCTTTCTTTTCAAGCCAGTGCCAGCCGAGTATGCCAAAACAACGCCTAGGATACTGCCGTTTGCTCACTGCTCACTTGTGGACAAGCGTTCTCGTATGAATGTTGAGAAGTGCCGAAGGCCAAATGAGATCATGGTGCCTAGGTCTGGGTGTGTCTTGTCTTAGGGAGCCCCCTCGTTTTTGTTGCAAAGGGAAACCGGAAGGGACACCAAAACTGGGGTCCGATTCCTAAAAGACTGCCATGTCCACAAAGTCCCCAAGTTTGGTTTTCCGAATGGCCGATCTGAAGGGCGAGCTGGAAGGTCCTGAAGTGAGTCCACACCTGCCTCTGGTTGGTGTCCAGGGGGTGCCTTCACAGCCTTTCAGGATACCAACGGGCAAAACAGGTTGGTATAATTGCTTCAGGCCTCAGAAGGTGTCACCCAGAAGTGACAACATTCTCCAAGGGTCAGATTTGTCAGTCCACATTTTGACCGGGATGGTTGGGAGGTGCAACCCCTAGCCTCTGAGGGCATGGATCAGCAAGAGGACATCGCCTACATGTTGAACTCCGTTCTCCAATGGATCCCTGAGGCGATAAAGGAGGAGAGAAACTGTCGATTCCTTCAGGCTGCATTCGGGAGCGAGCCTTCACTGGAGTTGTGAGGGACGGAGTTTTCGGTCCCTGTGTTCGGCTTCGGTGCCTTCGACTATTTTCGTTATAGGGAGAAGACGTGACCCATGGTTGACTCGTGCCTGGCTTTTACCAAAGCCAAGTGTGAAGGCTTCGAGCCAACGTCCATGAGTCGTCCATGTCAAGCCACCACGACTTGATGTCTTCTTCTTCTTCTTCTTCCACGCTCACCATGTCGCCAGGCGGCATGGGTTTGTTTTCCGTGTTCGATGGTCGCCAACCTTTGAGCGCGAGTGCAAAGGGCCCTCTCCAAAGCCCTGAAAAGGAGCAGCCCTGCAAGACTCGGAAAACAGCTTGGGTGATGGGGGAACATTACCCCCCTCCCCCCCCCCTTCAAGATAACCGGATTTTGGAGCGTATGGCCCCCTGTCTCGACCACAAGGTTCTAGGTCCACTTTTGGAAATGTCACTCCCCAGGAAAAGTCGAGAGAAGTTCCCATAGCGCCACAAGAGTTCAGGAGCTCGTGCTCAAGTACGCCTTCTTAGAGGAGCATCTCAATGTCCCCACCGGAGGACCATCGAAATGTGGGGTCCAACAGGGAAGCATCTATTTTGGGGGTTCTCCTATTTTGAGAAACAACATGGAACCCAGAAAACAACTAGCCAAAAAGGCATCTCCTTTTGCTAGCCCACCTTCTGGATTCCTTCCGTTCGTCTGGCCATTTTCCAGGTCGAGTCGTTCAATTGCAATGCATGTCAGCCATGCAAAGTTCTTTACTCGAGAGAAGGCCTACTTAGGAAAAAATCGCTCCGGGTTCGCTTGCTTAAGGCGAAATTAACAACTTTCTGCAGATAGTTTCAGTTGTTTGGTTGAACCAACCCGGCAATATGTAGATGACTGACTGGGCACCCTGACCAGAAGGGCCAGAGCAACGGCCCTGATGATCGCCATACATCTCCATACAAAGGATGGACGCATGGAAAATATTTTTCCAGTTTTGGGACGGGCTTTCTTTTTTTATGTGTATGGGCAAGCTGACTGGGCAATCCAGGCACTTTTGCCTCAGGATCTTGACCTGCAGACCGGCCCAGCTCGCCGTTGAACATCACGACATCACTGCATCTTGCTGCGGCTCGCGAATGTCCGACTCAGATTGACCCGTGGCTTCGGTGTTGGTCCAACGGTTATCTTTCGCACTGTCTTTCGCTGGCCACGTTGCTGGAGAGATAGGTTTCAGTGTGCAAGGCTTGGTGGAAAAAGCGTTGGGCGGCTCCCCTTTCGCATAGTCCAAACAGCTCCTAGCGGGTGTCCATGGGCTGTTTAAAAGAACAGCCTCTCCAGGATGGACTGCGTGCCATGTACAGGGCCTTTTGCCTACCGCGCACCAACGCAGCCCTTGGCTGGAGAAAGAGGTTGGAGGATGATCGGCAAGGTTCCTGTTTGGGCCAGTTTTTCAGCTGGGATATTACGGAAGCAGGGATTTGTGCTTAGTTTGTTCTACTTCCCAAAGGTTGACCATTTTGTCAGCTGTGGGGTGGGAATGAATGAGTTCGGGTAGACGTTGAAACGCAAGAATTTGCTTCCAGGGGACAAGTTGGGGCAGAGTCCAAGGGGTTTCGCTAGGAACTGATTTAAGGCTGCAGTCGTTGATTCCCTTCATGTCTTTGTGTTGGGTTTTCACGGGTAAGGTGACTGCCTTTTTGGGGTTGTTTATCCAAAAAAGAACCACCAATTGTACAGCCTCCCTGCAGTGAAGGGTGCTCGGTCATTCACTGTCGCCAGTGGGGAGCGCGGAAGTGCGCAGATTCCGCCCGGGGATCGGACCGTGGTCGATTTGAATTTCAATCCGGGGTCAAGCCACAGATTTTACCTGCGAATTCGGGGCAATCCACACCGCAAGAATTGGGGGGGGGTCCGTCTACAGGCCTTTTGAGGGCCCAAGAGCAACCAGAACATAGGATCTTCGGGCGTGATGGTTTATCGCTTGTCGTACATTTCAGGTTTGACCTGATCGATCGCACCTGGCCGTTCATCGTGACGTGTTCTGAATATTGAGGACCCATGCCATTTGGTTTGGCCTTGCCTTTTTGCACTTAGACCTTGAGCGGGTTGGTCTTTTGCCCAAAGGTTTTGAGGGCCTCTGCACTTCCACAATTGCCCACTGCCTGAAACTAACCTCCCAAAGCCGTTGACGTCAAAAGTAAGGAGTTGCGCTTGGGTCCCACATATACATGTCTGACAAAGAAATAGCAAGGTGATACACCCTGTTCGTCCAAGCGACATGTTGAGGCCTTCCACTCTATCTGATCAAAAGCCTCTTTGATTTGCTTTGATCAAGCTATAGCCTGACACAATGTTGCCTAAGTCACTTTCCCGTTGTTGCAGGAGGCAACCTGTCATTCCGTGCAGGTTTTTTTTGGGTTGCAATGGACATTGCTCCCTATTGCATTTGAATTGAGTTTCTCCAATGGGCTCCAATACCCCAGTCTCAACTTATCCTGACAGCCCAAAAAAAGGAAGACTCACCGTTTTCATATTTCCCAAGCCCATTCACCGGCTCTTGCTTCCCCCCGCGGTGTTTAGACGGGATGTGCTTTGATATTTTTTCGCCTCGGGCCGGTGACCCGAAGGATCCCGAAGGCGCAGGGTCCAGATCCCATGGCTTAAGATGGTTGGTGAAGCGACGCCGAGGTTGGAGTTGCTCTTGGAGTTTGCCCCGCTGGGGGACCTGAGCGGAAGGCACGCGTCCCGAATGCGCCGAGCCGCGGGATTCGTGGGACTCCTGGGATTTGGCAAGGTCGGGGTGGGGGATTTATGTAGTTTACGTGGGCGCGGCCCTATTTCCAGAAGGACAAGAGTCTGTGCACCAAGCCATGTTCGGAGGTTGGTCAAAGATGCTGGGACGTTGCTCAGCGCCCCGCAGCCAGCCGCCCTTGACCAGAATTACTATGAGCCACTGTGGGTTGGACCACGTCCTGGCCAAGATATGAGATGATGCATTCAGGACGACCTGGAGTGTATTTAGAACACAGGAGGGAGGAGTTCACTTCTATGAAATGTTCCGGGGGGGGTGAAGACGAAGTTCCCAGGACACTGAAGTTGCTGAAGTCCCACATTCTACAGGAGGCAACGCCTGATTGCTGTTAGACTGTTGGACGAAGGGTGACTTCCTTCGTCGGAGCAGAATTCGAAGACAAAATCGCGAGCTGAAGCCAAATTCAATTTGCATTTTGAGGTCAGGCGCCCAATTCACCATCGCCACTTTGAGTGTGTGAATATTGTTTTGTTGTTTCTGTTTGTTTCGGTCGTCCGTCTACACGCCAGACAACTATAGCATCAATAGTGAGCGTCTGCATGAACAAGGCTCGGCAAACATAGCCTGTGGAGCCCAAATCTTACAAAACCGGCCAATTCTTTGTGGCTATGGTAGGATCTTTGGACTTTAACTTTTTGGTTGAAACAACGGGTTTTCCGAATTGCCCCCACACGCACACAGTTATTCACTTTCCGCAGAGGGGTCGTTACAGCAGCCCATGTCGGTCCACAGTGCATAGGCCCAAAAATGGGGATCAGAGCCAGTAGGTCACACCTGGCTCTCGACGGAAGTCAATTCGCCAGGATTCGGCAGCACAAAGCCGCTTGGCTGAGGTCTTTCGCTGGGGGCTTCGCGCTTGCTTTCAAGGTGCCCTCCCAAATCCAGGACAGTGGGTCTTCTTGTTTTGGAATCTTTTGGGGAAGGATCGCCGTCATGATCAGCATTGAAGGGGCTCCGTGTGTGTTGATCGCAGGGGCATTTTGACGCTCGTTATTGGATTGCCATGGTAGAAGCTGCGGTCAAAGCCGGCGAGCCATCAACAATCACGGAAAGCGGGAGTATCCCACGCTGACACTACCTGACACTTGCAACACGTACTGAGAAACCAGGCAAATTCAGCAAGACTGGGACGCGGTTTTCGCTGTAAATATTTCTTGCAAGGTGCGTCCAAGGTGCGCAGGATTGTGCAGGGAGTATGGATGACTCTGGGTACCTAGTTTCTTGTTTACGAAAGGCATGAGCTGGCGGTTATAGAGCCGGAGGAGGTACGGTGTGGGGCACTCAGATATTCGGTTCACCATGAAAAACCTTTTGGTTTGGATGCCCAATTGACGTATTCAGTCCGAATCTCCACGGTTCTGGAATCTCTTCCACAAGTATGTTTGCAGCAGCAGCAGCAGCAGCAGCAGCAGCAGCAGCAGCAGTAGTAGTAGTAGTAGTAGTAGCAGCAGCAGCAGCAGTAGTAGTGGTGGTGGTAGTGGTAGTGGTAGTGGTAGTGGTAGTAGGAGGAGGCTAAATGCGAAACATGTTTGGCTGTGTACCCACATGTGGCAACACTCATGTGGCACCGGCGCACTGTGAGAATGAGAGAGGGAGGATGGGCACGCCGAGCCAACCTCAGTACAAGGCTTGAGTATGTCAAAGCAATCGAATTTTCAGCACCACGTGCTCCAGGAATTCAACACTGGAATGCTCCAAGAATGCACCTTTCCGCCAAAGGAGCGGGCAGAAAAGAGTTGCAAGTGTTCTTTGGAATCAAGTATCAATGCTAGGACGTCGGATCCTAGCTTCTACTCGTCGAATGAGCTGAATGAAGAATTTGTGTCACACCAAACGGCTCGACAGTGTCTCAGTATGCCTCGACCCTCTCGAAGAGACCTTTTCGGCCTTCGCGCCAAATCTTCCGACGTGAGGAATGGTGCCACTCCGCCACCCAAGAGGCTGGGAGGATGGGGGTGTTCGAACAAGCGTGTGACCAGAACGGCAGGCTGTCTGCTCAAGAAAATCCGACAACCAGATGCACTGGGGTATGGGGGGAGGGGGTGATATTGCTCTCTATTGAAGGTTTCCTTGGGGATGCCTCGTTTTTTTTGTTTGGCGTTCTTGGACTTTGTGACTTTCTGCGACCTGTCACTGGCAGACGAAACAGTTCAGTTTAGTTAGGAAGTGAGGCCATACATGATTGGGGAGAGTCTGAAGAGTTTTGATGCAGCCCGTTCAACTCCACGAACGCTGGATGGCTAACAGGCTTCCGGAAGAGCCCCCCTCGTCAAAATTGTGGAAGCCTTTGTGCGTTTGTCTCGAAATTGAACTGAGAAACCCCAGTATGGTCGGTCTCCCAGGTTCCTTTGCTTTGTTCAGGTGCCAATTTTCGTGTGGGTGTGGAGCTTCCCACTGAAAGTGATCAACCCCAGATCTGGGTCTGCTCCAAAACTGTTTCATGTTCTACTGCAGGCGAACCATGCAGCAGAATCGAAACGTATATTAGTTTCAGTGTGCACTAGAGGTGGGCCAAACAAAAATCGGGGGTCCCTTTTTGACCAGTGCCTCTGGGCAGTTGGGGCCGCACCTCGGTGCCTCACATATGGAGGTCGTCGGCATGCCGGAGCCGGAGCTCGTCTCCTACGGCAGGGGGGGAAGCATCGGCGGGCTCCGGTCGTAACTTGAAATCCCTGGGGCGAAAGGTCAGGGCAACAACACATGGTTGTCGTTGGGAAACGGCTTTTACATTTTTGCTTATTGTGGTTTAGTGGTTGAAATTCAACCACTTAACTGCTAAAATCTAAATTTTGCTCCCCTGCCAACGTCAACCAAGAACAAAGGTAGCTTTCCGAAGGTCCTCGTATAGAAGTCCGGGGGAGTATTTTCACGGGCACAGGTGGCAGTAACGAGAGTGTTTAAGTCGCTGCGACTTGTCCACCGCCAGTGCCGTCCAAATGGCACCTGCTGTCACGGGTTGCTGGCCACAGGTTCGCAAGATTACTTTTTATCATGTTGGTGTACAAGTAGCAGGGATGAATATCGACAAGATCGGGGGAATTGTGCATTTCGGTGCTGATGTGGCGATGGCCAAGTTTCGTCAAACACAACGAAACCAGGGAAATCCAGAGAATTGTGCAACACCTACAGCGTTGCCCCAGAGTAGAAAACCATTTCAACATGTTGCTCACTTCCTGGATTCATGGACTTTAAACTGTTTGGAAAGACAATTTTAGTGGTAGACAAAAAGTTTGGACTTCATTTGGCCAGTTATGATTTTCCATCGGGAGGCTGCGACATCGCAACGGGGCTCGCTTACTTGCACGGGCTGCGGCCCAAGGCCGGCGATGTGTCGACCCAAACGTTGAGGTCCGTGAGCATTTATTTCGGAGGTTTCTCTTTAGCTCACCTCGTCGAAAAGGGAAGCCCAGGTTGGAGGATCTTGGGCTTGAGGCTTTGGGATTTACACGCCTACCACTCCCCTTGTGCCTCGTTTTGGGACCAGCTTCTTTCCTAAGAGGCCTGGTTCAATTTCTTCGCCGTAGGAAGTCATGCATGTTGGTGACCTTGGAAGGGCTGTCTACCTTGCGGGCCTAGCTACACGTTGCAAGAGGCTTGCACCTGAAGCAAGGTGTTTTGAAGGAGTTCCATTCCCTTACCTGTCAGAAAGCACATGTGCACTTCGCCTGGTGCATTTACAAAGGTATTGTCTATCGGCAAACAATGCCGGTGCAGGTACTTAGCACGCCGCACGCAATCGATCTGCAAAACGTGCTGGGGGTTCGTTTGCGGTGCCGCAGATCCTTCATCGCGACATCAAGCCCGCGAACATCTTGCTCTTCGCTGACGAGGCGGTGGCCTCAAGGCTGAACCGCGCGAGCCACTGGCGAGGCGGTTAAGGCACCGGCTCGGCCAAATTTTCCATGTGACTGACTGCAGAGCTTTGCCAGAAAAGGGATCTTGAGCATGCCTCGTGTATTTTCTCGGGCTTGCATGTTTGCAGTAGTGAGCCACTGCACAGGTCGCTTGGTTCGAGAGAGAGGGCATGAAACCGCAAGATGCTGTCGAGTCACGCAAGGCGCTCATCTTCCCGCGGGCCAAGCTCGGGGATTTCGGCATCGTGGGGCGCTGAACCAGGTCCCCTAAGGTCTCCGAGTCTTCCTTTAAACCCCCGTTGAGAGGGGAACTTTGAGGATGTCAAAAATAGCGGACCCAGAGATGGAACTTGCAGCATAACTTTCCACTTGTGGCCGGCTTTCGCACCAACGGCGGTTGTGGTTTTGGTGGCCTTTGGTGCTCCCTTGAGGGGATGCAAGTTCATGCCGGAAGGAACTTGAAACAGGGGAGTTGAACTTCATGGTAGCTTGCAAAGCTCTAGCTTCCATGAGTTTGTTTCCCCAGAAAGCTAGCAGCTATAAGGGGTTCTTACTTCTGAAAGCAAGGCAAACTGTTATGCCAGCTGCTGCTGCAGGTGGTGGTCAGGGTGCAGTCAGGGTGCTGTTTGGGGTGCTGGTCGGGTGCTGTTCGTGTGGTTAAGGTGCGGTGGTGGTTACTGGGTGCTTGTTTTGCGATGCTGTGCTCAAGGTGCCGAGCGCTGTTGTGGGTCAGGGCGTTGCTGTGGGTCTGCTCCAGGTACTGCCTGGTGTGCTCAGGGTGCGGAGGGTGCTTGCTTTGCGATGCAGTCCGGGTGCTGTTGCTTTTTTTGGTGCTGGTCAGGGTGCTATTTGGTCAAGCTGTAAGTTTCTTGGCGTTTGTTTGCATGTGGTCGACCAATTCATTTATAGCTTCCCCGGGTATGATTATATATATATATATATTGGATGCAGTGTAACATTGACGAAACGGACAGAGCAGATGGTCCAAATCCGATTTGGTCTCAACTCGCCGGAGCCTTGCAGCATAGGCTCGATCAGCCAACCCTGAGAAAATAAATGCTTTCGGGTTTCGCACCAACACCACCCAAACTCAACCCCATCCGCCCAACCAATCCAACCCAGACCAACCCAAACCAACAAGCCGAACCGAACCGAACCCAGCTCTACCCAACTCCACCCCTCCGTACCCAACCTCATCCGCCCAAAACCCATCCCAACCCCCCCCCCCTCCGTAACCAACCCCACCTGCGCAAATTCCAACCCAACCCACCCACGGGGGTCCTGACATCTGTAGCGCCATTTGGGCGGGGTATAGTCCTTTTTTCGTCGTAGCCCGCAGCGAATGCACAAGCTAGTACGCATAGACGTCACTGCCTCCCCGCAAAAGTGTTCTGTCTTGCTTGTGATTTTCAAATATTTCTTGCTGCCTCGGGGTTGGGGAGGAGGCCATGCACCTGCAGAAAGCTTGCTGACGTTGGCGCTTGGCTTCTGAGGGGTAACTGCCAAATTGTGCCTCAACGAAAGCACGGATATCAAAATGCATGCAGCGCCCGCATGATCACACACGGGTAATTAGCTGAACAGATAGCCATTTCTTACTGGTTTCTGACAGCACCACCCGTCCATGATAGTTCCGTTGTTACCCACAGTCTTCCAGTGCTCAGCATGCCTCAGGTATTCAAAGGCTGTGGGGCCTGTTTGCCAGATGATGACAGGTTTGAGGTTCACATAGAAAGCGGGTTGGGGGTTGGAAAAGAATATGAATAACCGGGGTACCAGACATGTTCCGCTGCGGTCCTCGTCCAAAAAGGGGGTTCAAAAATCATCCAAACTCAGAAATCTATGTCTTTTTTGAACTTATGCGGGTTTGCAAATTGGTTTGCAGACGGTATTGTATTGGCAGAGTATTTGTTTATTATTGGTCCTAAAGTGCCCCCTTTATATGACGAGATTTGGGCTCAGGCAGAGATTTGCTAGGTACTGGCTAGTTCTCTAGCGTGGGTCGGGTTGTGATTAATAAAGGGGGTGGTCCCCCCCTCCCCCCAAACAAATTTTTGGCTGGCCCAGTGCTGTCTGGAATTGGTTTAGTATTGGTCTAGTATTGCGTTGTGCTGCCTTAGTACTTGCTTTGCCCAAGTACTAGCTTAGTATTGGTTTAGTTTAGTATCGGTTTAGTTTTGTGCCTTTTCAGCCTGGAAAATGTTTCAAGGTTGGGTGCCCCGTTCTCATTTCCATTGTTGAGTATCCGGGGTTTCCCCGGGCGCCCCATTGGAAACTTGTTGCCCTGAGCACTTTTATGTAACGGATTGTAAGGAAATTGTGGCATGGGCGCTTTTTCCAAGCCAGCAAACTCCGGACAAACAAAGGTGTTCCGCGCATGAAATCTAATATTTTGTATTAGCTACCCCTGTTCAATTGGGGGGTAGATAATAATGTTCTGAAAGCCTTATTGGAATTATTTGGCACCGCTTGATGAATCGTGTACCGAAATCATTGGGAAATTCGGGGTCGAGTCTCAGAATGTGTCGGGCCGCATTTGTTTTGTTGCCAAGGGGAAGTGGTGACCGCCTGAAAAAACACAATCTTTTGATAAATAGCATCCTTGACTTCATTTCCTTCATTGACTTCTTGGACGTGGCCTTCATTGCCTTCATGGGAGCGGCCTTCATGGGCAAGGTCTGGGATTCCGTGCGACAAATCCCGGGGACACCGAGGCCAAGATCCTAGAGCTGGAGACCTCCATCGCGGGTGCCGCCACAGCGCGAGGCCCTGGCCGAAGCGGAGGAGTCGTATCCACCCCCTTTCAACCCCACTCAGCTTCCCTGATTGTGGGGGGTGTACAAAAAGCATTGGAGGGCTTGAAGAAGGCTTGAAGCTGAAACACAATCTGAACATATCAGCTTGTACACCAGAGTTGGGCCAAGGAATGACTGGATGCAAACTAAGCTTCACCAGGTTGGTTTTCCGGTGTTGATCCTTTTTAGTCATGGCCCCAAGGGGTTAACAGTTTATTTCCAGGGCGTTGGGCAAGTGAGGACGGGATGTAAAGGTGTGTCATCTTGCTGAACCAGCCAGCTTCCGCATGGAGCGCAGTCGCACCACAGCAGGACCTTGCACTGTCCAAGATGCTCACAGCGGGTCGAACTATTCCTTCGAGGGTACCCATGGACTAGGGTCAGCAAAGCACACGGCGCCTTGAGCGAGGTCATAGGCACCCCGCATTACTTCGCGCCCGAGCAGGGTGGCTCAGGGGTGTGCTGCTTTTGGGCGCTTTCTTTGGGCATTGCCAGCGGGAGGGTTCGACAAGCATAAGGTTACAATAAGGTTTGCAACAAATCCGAGGGTTGGGAAGGTAGACAGGTAAGCAGCACCCCACTTAGCAAAGCCTTCTACTTGCTGTTTCAGAAAAAGCCGACCTTGATGTCAATGCTGTGCCCTACGGGCAATATATGGGCGTGCATCGCTTGAAGGTGCGCGACCTTTAGTGAAGAGTGGGAGTGCGACGTGTCCAAACCATACCCCGAATCGTACCCTTGAACCAAAGCCCGAATCACCCCTTTCCCCAAAATCACAGGAACAAAGAGGAAAGGATGCTTGCAGTTCAAGGGAGGAATCATGACACATAAAGTGCTGTGTGAACCATGCCATGTATCCAAACTTCCGGGTCCGGCCATCTGAGATTGATACAGACCCATATAGATGTTCTCATGTTGTAAAGAAGCAAGCAGACGTGGAAGCCAAGCTTTCGATAAACAAACCAGTCGGCATTTTTCTGTGCTCTGCATGTTGGTGGGTCTTGTGTGGCTGACAGGGGTCCAGTTGCCGTGCGGTGTGTGAGTATACGCATGCGTGCGTTGCGGACATGGTCCCTATAGAGAGCAGCTTGATTGAAAGAATCGCAAAACCATCACACATGCCCGCAAACAAACAGGAAGACCCTGGCAATGGAGGGGTGCCTGCGGAGTTGCTTTGTCTTAGCAAGCCGTACCATTTTTGCCTCAAGATGTGTATCAGCGCAAACTTTCTATATACAAGGAGGCAGCTGGGTTGAAGGGAGGAAAGTAAGCTTTTCAGGAAATTGTTGCCAAAAGATTGTCTTCCTTCGTCTTCGCTATAAAACGTGCACGCCCCGGCTTTGGTGAATCACCCTGAAAGAAAGAAGGGAGTTGTTGAAAGTCCGGGAGTTGTGGAACTTAGTTTCGCCTTGCACACATTGAGGGAGAAGAGTGCGATTGACATTCTCAGGCTTTGCAGAGGCGAGCAGTATGACGAGCGTCGCAGCCTAAGACTTGAAGGGTGCCCACATACCCCGCTCGAACATGGCAGGAGTTTCATGGCGGTTCTTCTGGCGGGTTTTTTGGAGGGGTTGGGTTTGTTTGAAGCTATTTTGGACTATGCTACATCTTTTTTCGGGCTGAACCAACTAGGAGGACTAGGAGGGACTACAGTTTTTATTACTGCTGCCATGCAGCAACATTCAGGGCTACTGGTTAGGGTGATGCCATTCTGTAGCATTGAATACGGGACATTGTGTAGGTGGTTCCTGTTCATGTGAGAGAAGATGAACACGGGAGACAGATAAGGACAGTGGGTGATGTGTGTGTGTGTGGGCAGGTGTATGCCTCACACCGGGTTAAAAGCATTGTTTGGAGCCTTGTTTGCGCTATTTGCATGTATGTTATCGACCAAGCAGGCGTCCATGCTATATGAAGCATTGGTAGGACTCAAAGCCAACACAAGGTGACTTCTTGATTAATTGATGTGAGGCCGGCTTCAATGACACTGATGCATAGCTTCAAATTGCATTTTCTGGTGACCGCTTGGTAAGGTGCCACTCCCTCAGACAACATGGAAGATGTCCGAAGGCCACCGTCAATGGAACCAAGCCTTCTAAGTCCTCGGAGCTTCCACGTTGGTCTGGGGGAAGCTCTGTTGCCCAGTGGTGCCCTTTTTCCTTTTTTCTGGGTAAGGGTTCCCCTTTAAACTCAAGCAACAAAAGAAGGGAGCCCTGTTTTTTTTCCATTTTTTCCCATGGAAATCCACAGGGCATCTCAGGAAGGTATGGTTTGGGTTGGGTTCTTAGGTGGGTAACTTACAGGACAAAAATGCGCTGAGCGGTGCCTAGGGGCCGACTCTTGGGCGCTGGGTGCTGCGCTTAAGCGAGCGAGGCAACCGCCAAAAGAAGGGGGAACCCACCAGAAAAGAGATACTTGGAGTCTCCATGACCAATAGAAAATAAGGAGTCATTATCCAAAATGGGGTCATGGACCCATTTTGAAAGGGTCATGGAGACTCCATGTAAACAAACCTTTGGGTCAACATGATCTTCCGTAAGGATGTGGGAGGCTAGGTATGGTTTTCTGATCTTTCGATTTTGCAGATGGCGTATTGCTTGCCTGTGTGGTGCGATACAGTTTTTTGTGACAACTGCTGTAAGGCGACGTGGGTTCTCCCTGGGCACGCGGTTAAAAGCCGTAGCAAGAAAACAGTAGCAAGCTCATTCCATACAAACCACAAAAGGATTGGAAACTGTTCCCATGTCTATTGCCTCCATTTCCCAACCTGCTTTTAATGCAAAGTAAGAGTGATTGTTAGTGACCAGTGCCCCGAGGCCAAGGCCAATGCAACCATGATCCCAAATCCACATCAAGATGACGTTGCTTTTGCTGGTGAGTTGGTCACGGGGTTTTCCTCAACCACGGTCCTCGCCCAAATGCGGTCCCCCCGTTCCGGGCTCAAACATTGTTCAAAGTGGCAACTTCCGAGTAAGGGATGTAAACAGCAGAAACCAACGACATGGTTGGGATTTGCGTTATGTTCCAATTGGTTTTAAGTTTATTTAGTATTGGTTTAGTATTGGTTGTGAATGTTTCCTGATAAGATTTCAGTTGGGGTCGGAGGGAGATGTGCTCTTTTCAGAATTGGCTAGAGTATTGGCTAAGTCTAATTTGATATTGGGAGAATTGGAGTCTTGGAAAATGTGTAGGGCGAAGATTCATTGGTGTGGGAGGGTTGCATAGGAGAGGAGAGAGGTCTGGCTTAGCTTCAATGTTTGCGCATGTTTGAGCCGTTCCTTTCCTTCACTAATCTTCCTCTTCATTCCGTTGTCTACAATATATGTTTATTAAAGGTAATAAAGTCTCAGACTTTCAGGGATAGGAGGGAGTAGGCGGTGCAACAGAATCTGGATAGAATGTTTGGGTAGAGCTGGAAAGGTCCTTGGCAAGGCGCTTCACAACAGGGCTCCTGAGAGATCCTGAAAAGACTCGCTTTGGCCATGGTCCTGATGTGCGCCTTGACCTCCTCATTTGTTTGGGGAGTGCGGGGCTGCGGGTTACACTTTGCTTCACCTAGGCAGAAGTTGAATGATTGAATAGTGGGGACTTTGCGTGACACCCCAAGTTTCGGGCCGAAGGGGCAGTCACTCAGTCGGCTCACGAGCTTCTGCGCTGAGGCTGCATTCTCTATGAGATGCTGTGCCTGCACCGGCCCTTCCATCAGGCGCCTTTCTATATTCTCATTTGTCTTGGTTTGGGCGATTGACCATTTGGATTCATTAAGGGGTTCCCACCCCAACTGTCCAGCTACGCCTACAACTTTCTTTGGCTGGAAAAAGTTGAGAAGTAACAGGGGTCGTCCCTTCAGTTCCAAGCTGTTCAACTAAAGCATGACAAGTATTGGCTATTTTGGCTATTTTGGCTATACTCAGTTGTTCAAAGCCGATTTTTTGACCTTTATGTTTTCCCTGTGTTGGTCTATTTTTAGTAGGGGTCCCAAAAGGTTATCCTTTTGTTGATGGGTCCCTTGGGCAAGTGAGTAATTATATGGGTTTCGGGTTTCTCGGAGTCTGGTTGAATCCCACGGAGCTTTGAGCTGCCAGCGACAGAGTTTTCGGCAGGTGGAGGGCAACTTGGCATTGCTGGCGGTGCGCATCTCCGAGGGGAAGTTGGACCGAGCCGCCCTGGAGAAGCAGGATCGATTTCCATGCGACTTCCGATTTTTCTCCGATTTTTCCGCGTCCAAAGATCGCACAGTTTTCGGGTTGGGTGGGTGGGTGGGTGTGGGTGGGTGTGGGTGGATGGGTGGGTGGGTGGGTGGTGGATTGGGTTGGCTTGGCTTGGCTTTAAAGGGGTTTCATGATTTTCTCGGTCCTTGTTTTCAGGGTCCCCTTGGTCCGCATATTGACAGTCTTACTGCTGTGGAGGTCGCAGGTTCAGCAGCTCAAAACTAACAGCGGTGACCCATGAGCTCGAGGTGTTCGATTGGGTTCAGACGGAATATGCATGCTTAAGGGAGAATAAAGATCCCCCCTGGCAGTTTGGGCTCTGTGCTGATTGCTTTTAGCGGACACTTTGGTGTATCCTAAGCCCACGAGTTGAGATTGAATGTTCAGTTGCGTTCGGCGTTTCTACGAGTGTTTTCAAAGGTTGCCAACAACAAGAGCGCAGGTTTGCTGGATTTTGACCGTTGCCCAATGAGCGCGGCAGTTCTGGGAGCGTGTTGTTCTTTCGTTGCCTCCTGAAAGGTTCCCGAGGGTCACAATTCAAACCCCGGACATGGATAAACGAATTTGATGCGGACGTTGCATGCTCCCAGCCTGAACGATACGTGTATGTCTATTTGATGAGCACTTGGTTGGTGGACATGAACCCCACCTAAAGGATGTCCACCAAAGCGTCCGCTATTTAAGAGATAACCCCCATTTGGGCTTGTTTGAGGGTTCAAAATGGGAGCTTCTCTCAACAAACAGCACAGGTTTGCAATATGTATATCGGATCAGCTGTTATGAGCGTGCGCCCTTGCGGTTCCTATTTGCGCTGTTGCCTTTTTTAGGTCCTCGAATGTGTGTTGAGCATGTTGGTTGGTATCACTATTGCGTTCGCGTCAACTATCCTGGCACCACTGCCTTTACAGGGCTTCAGACCACACATGGGCGAGCGGCAAACCTGGAGGTGGTAGAAGGTGTCAGGTCTGACTAAGTTTGCGGATCCGGATTGCAGCCGCCAGGCCGAGCTGTACAATGGGCGCCTGATTTTGGCCCATCCCTCGACTTTGGGCGTTCGCTTCTCGCTTGTCGATTTGTTGTAGGCCCACTCCTCGGAAACAAACACACGCCCGCAGATTCCTCCTGGAGGCATGGCATGCCTGCCCAAAACGGTGAAAGGACCAGTGTTTTGCCAGCCGGAGACAGTCCACTGCACGGCTTTGTTCAGAGCAAGTGTGAGGCCAAGTGGTGGATTGATCGGCCTTGGGTGGCTTTTTTGATTTTTGCTTGCTAGTTCTCAGGGGCTTTGGGGAATGATCCCTACCAGCCGTCCTTTGTTTTTGTCGCTTCCCTCGAGATACTCCCAGGTTTGATTCCACTTGGAGCCTCCAGAAAGTGGAGATGACCCTTGGCACGAGGTGCTCACCGGCCTGCTCTGCCCCACCGTGGAACAGAGGACTCGAGTCGCGGATCGCGGAGGGTTCCCAAGTTGTATCTATGTTTATAGATGCGCCCACTGATTCATGGGCTTCTTTTCCTTCTACGGAACCCCAAACTTGTGGGGATCGAAACATGCTGCACTGATGGTTGCTTTGAGCAGATTGTGCACATAGGCCTTGGCTGCATGCTGGCAGTGGGTTCAGAAGCCATTCAGTTTCACCTTTAGATGCAGATCACCCCATTCGTCTACCCTTCCACGAAGAGAACCTTGACACCATCCCCAGCCCTTAAAGTAGTGCATGGGAGCTGGGGGGGGCTGGTTTATTGCAGGTTCCATGTTCCTTTCCCAGCTGGGGCGGGTATAGGACGTGTCCATGACCCATTGCCCGACTCACCTCACTGTTGGTTGTTTCTACCTTCCTTGTTCTTTTTTGTATTCTCTCCCCCTTTCGGGGTGCTTGACTCTGGGCCCATTCCAGGAGCCGGGCTGGGGAGGTGCTGGAGTCCTTGCAGCACCTCCAGGCGAGGGCTCGTTGGTGTACCTGCTTGGGGAGGGAATCCTTTGCAGCGGACCTCCCGCTGAATTACTGATGATGATGATGGTGGTGATGATGTTGTTGTAGCGGCAGCGCCCATTCATAGCACATGCTGCGTCACACGGCAATGTGCGTCCATGCACACGTTTCAGCAGTGATCCGGCCAAGTGTGCACATGCACACTACGCTTATGCAAGTCACATTGCTTGACTACAATTTCCAAAAGGCCCGCAGTTGTCGCTGCGGTTCTGGAAGCTGTCAAATGATGGTGGATGCCAAAAGAATCGCAAGTGAGCCATCCAAACCACGGGAATTCACAGGGTGTCACTTGTTCCCTACTTGCACTTGCAACATCCAGGCATCCACTGTTGCTAGCATGCTCCCAGGTAGGCTGACGGATGTTTTCGCCACAGGTGCCGGCCCTTGTTTCCGTTTTCTTGGGAAGGGGCCGGGTTCGCTTGCACCTCAACCAACCGCTTGATCTCCGCTTTCAAGGTTATGCTGGTTAAGCGGCTAAACCTGGATTTTGAATGACAACGGGAAGAGTAGCCAAAGGAAGTTTAGAAGGAACCCCCGTGGTACGGCACACCATTAAAAGCTAAATGACAACAGAACAACAAGCAGGCGCGAAACATGTGTGGACGTGTGGCGGGAATGGAAGGAAGTGTTTAAAACTTGCAACCCTCCGTGCTGGCAAACGTACTAGGAGAAGCGTTATCCACGTTCGAGATTCCAGGTTCGCGGCAGGGGAGGCTGGATCCCCTCGGTCCCCTTATTTTAGTTGTCGGGGTTTCAAATGCCAATTTTAATGTACCGGAACGGGAAATTCCAAGACTGGCTGCCCACATCAGATTAATGTGTCCCAAAATGAGGAACAGAGCTTCTGTGGGCAAAGGCGGCATCCGTGTAGATTGTTCACCTGTTACCCTAAGGCTCCATGTATGACATGTCTATATATATATATATACTTGTCTCTCTCTCTCTCGATGTGGACATGTTAAGTGATTTTCGTTGCAACCGTGGTTGCGAAGATCATCTAAAGAGCCTCTGGGTTCAAGGGATGAAGCGAGGCAGCTGCTCATGGACTGCATTGGTTTCCGACATTTCTGCGTTTTCCACGGCCCATACTTGCCTTGGTTCTCGGCCATTTTAATGTTAGAGTGGACGAGTTCATTGTTTTTGTGACACACCCCACCAAAGGCCCAACTTGTTGCAATCTGCAAGCCGCTAAGTTGCACGGAACCCATTCGTATGCGAAATGAGCCCAAGAGTTGAGCACTCTTTTCGGATCAGGTTTCGAGGCCCGGGTAGTCTTCGCTTCGATTTCTCCTTGCCGAAAACCGAACTTACTTTTGCCTTCTGTTTAGTTAGTTGCCCGAAAATGTTTAGTTAGTTGCCCGAAAAGCTGAACCGTCCATTTCCAGGTCCTGGCGCGTGAGCATCTCCTTTGAATTGAGCGCCCACTCAAGGGGCCACATTGCCTCGATAGGCCAAGCACGACACCACCTCGCTGCCTGCTCCCACCGCCTGGTGGCGAACGCAGCGGCTAGAGGCGCGATGGAGTGAGCCCTTGCGTGTTTCCCCTGGCGAGCCATTTGCCTGAAGGGGTGTCGTGGAGGGTTTGTGGAGCCAACAGAACTGCCGTAGGCCGTGGGGAAAGCTAACGTTAACTTCGGACGAACCTGGAGGACCGTACTAATCAGGGTTCCCGTGTAGCAGGGGAATGATAATTTGGGGGTTCCTCTGACTGCGATTCCTTTTTGTCAGGACTTGGCAGTGGTCTTAACACCGGGAGGGGGGGGGTGCTAGCTTCCAAAGGCGATATCGACACTTCAGATCTCGGCTGGCCCTCAACTTGGTGGCTAACCCGACCCTGTCAGGCGAGCGATCAATCGTCTTATAATAATCCACGCATATTTTTCAATTATGATACTGCATTCGCCGTCGCCTTTCCTTTGAGGTAAGGCTTTGAGCCTGGTACCAGTTGCATGCCCAGGTTGCATGCCCAGCCATGTTCAAGAGATCACAGACAGCAAAGGCCACCAAGACCCAAGGCTTGCACTTGGTTGATCAGCCACATTCGGGAAGAGTGTCCTTGCACAGGAGTCCTGGGGTTTGGAGAACGAGGCACGGGCGTCCGAATTCATCGGGTGCATGTCATGGTTTCCAAGCGGTTGTGCCAGCTTGTACTTTGTGCGTGGGCGCACGGGGTTAAGACACCATGTTTGTCAGGGAAATCAACAGGACGACCTTCAGCCATTTGTTGGTTTTCTAGCTTGAATAACCCATGGACCCTGTTAAAGGCGGTGAACCAACATGAAACCAAGCCCTTGAAAGGGCTGGCTTCTCATGTGCTTGGGCAGATCGATGAAGGTGCTGGACCGTTGCGCGGAGACTAAGCAGGGAGCATTCTCACCCGTCCCCAAGGGGGTCGGCACAAAAAAGAACACCCAGCAAAGTGGCATTTCATGGGACGCAGGCGAAAGAAGCTCATGTCCTCTCCGGGATCCGAGTGGATTCCTGGGATCTTTCAACTCAAAGTGGCGAGTTCTTGGGCCGCTTCAGCTTCTGCCTTGTTCTTTTAACCCGCCTGTTAAGAAGAGGAAACACCTGTCTTCATATTACGGGTCTCCGGTTCTTGCCTTGCTGTTCAACAGTGGGGGTTAGATGGGAGGTGTGTAAACCCTGACTTTTGAACCAAACCGCAGGATGCAGATGCTAATAGCTGCTATTAGCAGCTTTGAAACCGCGGGGGGGGGGGGGGGGTCTGAAAAACCCAAGGTTTCCACAGGATCTGGCCGCGAGCAGTCAACTTGCGCCGCTTCGGCACTTTGGGCTAGGCCCACTTGGCGAAGTCCACGAACTCAATTACTACCAAGAGCTGCTGGTTGCATTCACATTGGATGCCTTTTATTAGCAGCTCTTTTACAACTATTAGTATTAGACAGGAGCCAGGGGGAGGGGGGGCGGGGTTATGTAAGGAGGGTAGTACAGCCTAATTATGTCAAGCATCAAACCATGTTGGCAGGACTAAAAGTCAACGCGTTTTGGATGCTGACCAGTTGCGTCCGGCAGTCATGATTATCATCATGACTGCTGGTGATGCTGAGGAAGCATAGTGATGATTATGATCATCACTGACGCTGGGGATGAGTAGTGATGATTATCATCATCCTTACTGGTGATGTTGGGGATGCGTAGGGATGATTCATCATCATCGACGCTCAGCAAGTTCACCAATGAAGTAGTCCCGTGCAAGTGGTGCAGCACGAGCAGTGCTGCGAAAGTAGAGTGCTTGCAGCCCTGTGCAAGTAGTGCGCGCTGCGCACGACGCATTTCGCAAGTGGCACGCCTCAATCAACATAGCGCAAGTATCCCAATGCAAGCAGCAGCGCCACGCAAATAGAGCGATAGAAGCAGATGCCACATCTAGGACCTCAATTGAGTAAAATAAGTTGTTTTTCTTCTTCTTTTTTCCGGAAATAACTGCTTTTTCACTTCTGCGAGCGCTTTTCAAATTTGCGAGCGCTTTTTCGCAATCATGGAATCTTGGACAATTCTGCAAATTCTGCACTCTTGAGTGTTTCGCAAAGAAGCGGATTTTGCCGGTTACAAAGCGGATTTTCCTTTTATCGAATACGCTGCCCGCTCCAGGCAAGGAAGCAAGGCTCCCAAAAGCACTTTTGAATCGAAACGGTGAATATGAAATGAAACGGCCAAAGTTTGTGCTTTTTCAGCAAACGGCAAAAACATACACATCGGATGTTCTAGGTATGGCCATCGTGTTTGGCAGAAAACCCGTGTTGCACCATGTCAGAGCTTCGCAGGAGATGTTGGACGAGGAGTGGGAGGCAGTGGTTTCAACTGCGGGCCATGTCAAAGCGAACGGCAGAAACTTTTGGACAGCCAATCTGCAAGCCGTGCAAAGTTCAAGACGTGTGGATTGCTGTTTGTGTTTGTGCGTGCGCATGGCCAAACTTGAGTTAAGCTCTTGAGAAGCACACCTGCAAAAGAAGGCATCCCTGCCAATGCTTGCCAGTGGGGCTGGGCCAAAATATTGAAGTTCATGGAAATGTGCGCTTTGCTTGAGGGTACCCTACTTGGAATTGGTATAGAGCGAAGCCACCCGTTCCTGGGGCGGGGTCCCCTATGTTGACACGCATTTGGCTCAAGCCTCTGAGCTTTCATGTACCGACCTGCGGTGGCCAAAAACAGATTTGCTCCAATGCGTCCCACAAGTAATCCTCGGCAAGTTTTCTAAGCTGAAGAGCGGAAGACGTCACGGTTGATCCGCCCAACAAGTGGCTTTTTCAATGAGGAAGACCCCTCAACAGCCTCAACATGATTGGATATAAATGTCCCTGTAAGTGATGCCTTCCCGGCAAGAAACTCGAATACCACACGTCGGGGCGAAAACCGCTTTCCTGTTGACTGCATGGCCATGGCTTCGGATGCCGTGCTGCCGCTTTCTGCCCAGATTCAAAACCTCACTGAGCGGGTGGCAGCCTGCGATGCTTGCTTGGAACTAGCCCCAAACAGAAACCCACTAACGCCTATGTTTCCCGGTTCAGCCGGTTCAAGCATCACCTTTTTTCTACAACTTGTGGATGAGTGTCCTTTTGACGAGTGGTGTTCAGGGGTCAAATATAGGGAGCCCTGTCCTGTTTGAGTCACATGTGGAATCGCATTTCTTTGGAAGGCAACAAGGGCCCTGCATTTACCTGAATAAAAACTTGCAAGTCACCAGGAATGTCGGCCACGAGCGTGGGTCGGTAGACTACGTCTCAACGCATGCTGCGCAGCGCCGTAGATGTTAGATTGATCCTGGACCCCTATTTGGCAGGGGGGAGGCGATGAAGCCGTGCTGCCGGGGTGTCCCCAGCACAAGCCACAGCAGCATACGTGAAATGCTGGAATGTTGAGGAGGGCCCCATGCCAAGTTCGGTGGCGCACTTGTCACAACAAACGCCCTTTGAGCACTAAAGCCAGGTCATGATCACTGGGCGCATGTGTTTATGCAACTTTGTAAATAAGATACAGTACCCGGCTTAGGTATATTGTTCCTTTTTGGCTACAGTGTTGATCGGTGTGATGCTTTCTTACATTGATTGATGTGCCTGATTGTCCATTAAACAGAACAAACAGCTTGTGCACCGTTTCTTATTGCCAAGCAATAGAGGCCCCCAATCCCAATGGGGCTAGAAGCGTCCAACAAGATTCTTTTGAGTGCCTTGTTTCGGGTCCCTTAGGCGGTGCTTGACAAACATCGGGCAGTTGGGCCGTTTTGTCCTGAGGCCCTGGCAGGTTCAGGGGACACCGAAGACCCTCTTAGTCCCACCACGAGCCTGTCTTTTCGAGCTCCATACCAGGTGTGTGATTCTGGGTGAATTACGACGACCTCACGCGACCTCGCCCCAAAATGGTGGTTTTTGTGGGGAAGAGCCCCCTAACCACCTTGTTTCAGGTGAAATACTATAATTCACCCAGGTGATACGGACCTGTTAGCTCCATTTTACCTTCATTCCCACCACGAACCGCTCTTTTCGAGCTTTTTTTTCTGGGTCCAAGAGCCAGGTGTGTGATCGGACAAACCCGGTGTTAAAATGGTCTACCCAGAACCATGTAAAGAGTTAAGAAGGCGGATATCCGCAGCTATTTCTGCTTGGGATTGTCCCTTTCTATCCTTCATCCGGGTTTTGAGCACGTGGCTCTGGTGTGTGGTCGGAAAAGCCCGGGGTCCCCTCCCGCCTCCGTACCGCGCTGAGGAGGCGCAGTTGGGCCACGGCGCGCCCAACCTGCGGAAGCGGCTCGGGGACTTGGCGCGGAAGGTGGAGGAGGGGAGAAGCGCCGCGGAGTCCCGCGGACCTGTCTGAAAATTGGGAAGCCCTGGATGGTGAAAAGGTGTTTTTCTCTTTTGTGATTTGTTTTAATATTTTTTTCCGAAAACTCCACCAGGGCACTCTTAGTTGTGTTTTGTCTGACAAAACCAAAACAGGGCCCTTTTGCTTTGGGTTGTTTCTTTTCTTTTTCTCTGCAACAACCATACCAGGGCACTCTTACATGGCTTGCCTTCTGGGTTGGAACTATCCAAAAGGGGTCCACCCTTCTTAAAAACTCCCGTATATCATCATATAATATCATATATCTGTCTTGTTGTGCGTCGTTTTTGGGTAAAGGGGATTCACACATCACAGTTTTGGGCACAAGATGAGTGTCCTGGACTGTTGTGGTGATGTCAGAAAAACCTTTCGCACGTGAGCTTCGTTTGGCTGACTCGCCCTAGTGACCCACTAGTCTAAGGTGACTTGTAAGGAGAGCCATTGCACCAAAGAGAGACGCCAGCCTGCCGCCGCACCAGCATATTTCTTTGCTTCTTGGAAAGCCACTTTTCCGACCATGGGATCCATGGGATCCATGAAGTGAGTGCAAAAAGAAAGGCACGTGCAACGTGCCAAGACTGGAAGCATTGTGCCAAGCCGCTGATTTCTGGCGGGATCCAACTTGGGGGGAGCCAACTTGAGCCAACTTGGCCCCGGCAACGCCCAGCCTCGGAGGACATCTTCAAGCAGAACCCCAAGCTGCAGGCCCGGAGGGGGGACGCTTTCGCCTCTCTGCCAGCCACCTGAGTTCGAGGGTCCACGCTGCGCACCGCTTTTTTTTTCGTGGTTAAACCGACACAGAGAAAAAACACAAAAGAAAATTCAGCCCAAAGAGACACATGCATTCCTTTAGCCGCGCTTGACTTTGTTTTGACCCCGATTTCCTCTCCAACTGAGGACTTGGAGCGCAGTGCCTTGGTCGCCTGGGAATCCATGGAGGCAACCAGGAACGACCTCAAAATGAGAATTCCCCATTTGTCAAGCCCAAAACTGCAGATCCCAAAATGGGCGGCTTGGTTTCCTTCAGACCGAGCCTCAAGCAAACACGCCCAAATGCTCCCAATGTCACCTGGAAATTCCCTATACAAAGCATCTCATGTTTTTGAGGAGCCTCACATGCCGCTTGCGGGCTTTCAGGATGTGTGCGAATGAGTTCAACGCATGCCGCAGCGTTCCTAAATCAACGCCTGACATGATTCATTGTCACCTGAGGCCGGAAGAACCAGCAGGCAAGTGGTCCAACCGACTTCACCTTAAGCAAAACAAGGGGGGGATAAGGATGCCTTGCTGGCTAGTAGTGAGCTGACCTGCGGGCAAATCGAAGTCCCGTAAAGATTCCTTGGCTCTGTTGCAGTGCTTTTGATTCTCTACATGGTCCGGAAAGCCATAATGTAAACGCTAGTGCTCCCGGACCCCAGTAGATCACTTCCCGACTTTCTGGACAATTCTGGACTCGATGTTCGGGAAGGCCATTTTGGCCTTTGGTTACTATCTGACTGACCAATCCGCTTGCGAAGTGAGCCGTGGCAGCTGGTCAACCCATGATCTAGGACCTGATGAACTGCTGGTAACAGCTCACTTCCCCAGTTCTTGGACTTTCGATACTTTTACCAACTCCACTCACTTCCAGCAACAAATGTAGCTGGAGCACTGCTGGTCATGCCATGTTCTTGCCTGCTGAGTTGGCAAACGTTGAACCACTTTTTGTAGATAGTGTTTATCATTTTAGAGGCCCACCAAGTTCATAACTACATGCATACATATACATATGTATACATATATGTATATATATACATATATATATATATGTCCATGTATATATATATATAGGTCTATGAGTCTCACGTTGTGTTGCAGAGCAACAATTTTCTCGTGAGCTTTTGGTCAGTCAGCTTGGGATTCGGATCTGAGATTTGGAGAACCTCGACGAGTGGCTGAAGGCCGAGCACGCGGGCGCCTCGCAGATCCTGCTGCACGCCAGCACCAAGCACCTTGGATGTGCGAGAATCCCAGGCAGCCAAACCCAGGTTTCTATCGTTTTGGCACTTTTGGCATACCTTTCCACTCGTTTCGATCCCTTCAAATCGAACTTGGAGCAGATTCGGGCCGATTCGGGGGGGGGGGTGTTTTCCCGAAAGTGAAGGAGACCCGCTTGGATGAGATACCCCAAAGCCGACCAACATGAATGAATCCTCTGTTCTGTTTCCACATCTGAAGATCACCGGGGCATAGAGATAGCCTTCTACATGCTGGTCAGCCGTGGGCGTGCTGGCACCGGAAACCTTTTTGGACCATGTGCGAGAAATGGCCTTGAAGCATGGGGAAAGCAAACTCGTCCACACTTGTTTTCCTGCTCCATCCTTGTTTGCCAGGCCAGACCCCAGAGTGCCACTAGATCCCGTGCCTGCATTTTTGGGGTGAGCCATTGGCCTCTGAATTCTGCCCTGTTCTTAACACATTGTTGATTGGCTTTTGGGGGGGGGGGGAGCTGTCAACCGGCAGAAGGCTTGCAGAAGGCTTGCAGAAGTCTTGGGACTATCTGACCACTTGTTTGCGGGGCAACTTGCGGGGCCTCTCAAAGGATTCACGTGATCCAGTCTCACCTTTATCAGCTGCTTTGCAGGATCCCTTGCTGGTTCTTGGAGGTATCCGTGCATCTTCCATTCTGTTTGAGCTTTGTTCCTGGGGGAGGTAGCCTTAGAAAACCGTACAGCTCGGTTGCTGAGTTGAATGCCTGAGAACTATCGTGCCCTACAGCGCATGGACGTTGGCTTTTGGAATCAAAGAGGTCCAGGCAACACCGTAGCTTTCAGCAAACGCTTGCTCAAGTGTTCTCGCTTTTCTGGATACGTGTCTTCAAACAAGGAAGGAAGGGAGTTGTGCAACAGCAACCCTGCTCATCAAACAGCATTGTCCCACGTCCCTTTGAAGGTGATTGTTGATTCGATTGAGCTTTGCAACGCGTCCTACCC